AGCCTGAGCCAGAACTGGAGCATGAGGGGCGGTGGGGGGGGGAGACGACAGAAAAATAGACGGGCTAGAAAGTCCCATGAGAAGAGCAAAAGGTCCGGAGGAAGGGTAGAGTGCAGTTAAAGATAATTACTTAGACCTTCAGAATCACTCGGAACTTCAGAATTTAGAACTTGGGCGGATGGAAGGTCTGGAGTGTGGCCGCACCGTCGGGGTGAAGCGGGGCGTGGAGATGTAGGCGAAGGCTGGGGCTTTGGGCCTGCGAGTGCAGCCCCCGCCACCCACTGCATCCACACTGACGTCCAGCCCCGCGTCTGGGAGCAGATGCAGAAACGAGGGGGTTCAGTGAGTGAGCGGGAGTCAGTCAAAACCATTACGTGAAACGGAGAGTTGGGTGGCACGAAGCCCCCAGGAGGATGGGCGGTGGCATTTCTGAAAGGGAAGGAGCCTCCCGAAGCCGTCACGGGGACTTAGGAGAGTCCAGACTGACGGTGCTGGCAGAGCCGTGACCCCGAGGTAGACGGAGTCCTGCTCGCTGGAAGGAAGTAACCCCCAGGGGACAGTCAGGTCGTCCACGGTGAAGACAGGCGATGGGGTGGGAAGGGACCTTATCATGCTAAACGAAAAAGCCTGAACCCGTTTTTGAACTTTCTGAAGTAATGTGATTAACATAAGAAATATGTACATGCGTTCCTACTAATAGCTGTATACGTAAATAGCAAAAATAACAGTTATACGCGATGATGCCTGTGAAAAATGGGACGACATTTGGAACATCTGAGTTTGTATGTTGTCTAAAAATTACATAGGTTTGTATTTTAGCTGGGTTTCTAACATTTTATAAGTATTTTTTAAATATGAATACTAACATTTATGTACGTATGGTGTGCTTGTTTTAACAGGTTCTTAATCAAGAACCAACTCTATGGATCCAAGACAGGTTTGCCCCACGGCCTGCTCTGAAGAGCGTGCTGTCCGATAGAAGATTCCATTGGCAAACCATCTCTGTTGCCTTACAGAGCAAGCAAAGAAGATGGATCGATTGAAGAGCCATCTGCCTGTGTGCATTCTACCTTCTGTGCCCTTTTTAATCCTAGTATCCACTCTAGCGACTGCAAAGAGTGTGACTAACAGCACTTTAAATGGCACTGACTTGGTCTTCGGCTTCATGCCCGTAATCATTGCCAGAACTGACCATATCATAGTCAAGGAAGGGAACAGTGCCTTGATTAATTGTAGTGTTAATGGCATCCCCAATCCACAGTTCAAGTGGTATAATTCCATCGGCAAGCTGCTGAAAGAAGAGGAAGATGAGGAGAGAGGGGAAGGTAGGTTTTAACCTTGGGTCAAATGTCATAAAATATAAACACGGACTGGGGAGCCAGCACCTTGAATGTGAGTGGTTCTTATTCTGGTCACTTAAAGATCTCATTTTGTCTTCTTTCTGAGGCAAGAGAGTGAAATATATATCCTTAAGGGTTCAGAGCAGTAAGTAATTCATTTTTTTCACTCTTTGACTCAGAAGACAGAGGACAAACATTGAAGTCTTTCAAAAGGCCTCTTGGAACTTTTGTAATTTAATGCGAACAAAATGTTACAGAATGCGAAACGGATTTTCCCTTAAATATAAGTCCCATTTATAAAGAGAGTTTTATTTTGTTTTGTGGAACTGGCTCAAATAAACAATGTAGCAGTTGTTTATCATTAAATGTCAGTTTAATCCATGGACTGTGGATGGAAAGGCTACACTTCTTAAAAGAAGTCTCTGTGCAAGTTCACAGCCACCAAGTAGAGATCATTCTGTGCTCCTGGAGGCCTGGCTGAAGTTTCCAGGCTGTCTCTTGCCACTGAGGCCAAGAGGGAGGAAGAATGCAAAGGCAAGATGTAACATGCACTAATAGGAGAATGCTTGGATTTTATTAAGTGAGTTTCCCTGACCAAAAAGTGTGAATCGCCTACCTAAGCACCGAGTGTACTGCAGGGAAATTTTCAGGCAGGGAAAGCATTGATTGGGTCACTGGGAATCAGTACATTTCTTGTTTTAGGTGTGAGCAGTAATTGTCTCAACACCCAAGCCTGATCCCATTGACCTGAAGGAGTTAATATATTTTCCACAAGCATTTTCTTTGAGATCAAGTACAGGATTGGGGGCCAGGGAGTTAAAAGACCATTGTTCTGAAATCCCAGCTTATTAGTTTCCGTCAGCCTTTCATTCACATTGTTCTTCCCATCCCACAGCCCTTTAACCAATGAACATTCCCCAGAAGAGTTTCTGCTCCAAGAAAACTTACATTTCACAGCCGTGCTCCTCATGGTTAAGGCAGCTCAAAGTCCAGCTCCCTGGGGTTGAGGTTCCGTGGTCCTGCTCTAATTTCCATGGCGTTTGGTCAGCCATTCAAGGATGCACAGCATAAATAAGCTTTTCCCCTTTAATGGAAATATTATATATTAGGCATCATATATATGTCTGCCTGTTTAACCTGAAAGAGTGGAACTCTTTCCCTACCAAGTAAAATTAAGGGAGCACAAACTTTTTAAATTAGAGGGGACCTTGGGACAATGTAATCCAAATCCTTCTTTAACGTAAATTTTCCCAGGGTCCTGCTGTTAAGTGGTTATGACTGGAACCTTCACTACTGACAGTGGGAAGATGAGACAGCACCACCTTAGCCCATATTTGGTTTCCATTCCTTCAGTTCCTTCCCCCCCAGATTATAAGGCAAAAGGAAGTGACATCACACTCGTGAAGAGGTACAGTAGCCATGGTAACACACACACACACAGGCCCCTGTAATTCATCAGGTCTTTCTACAGGGCCGGGCCACTTCGAGGAACATCCAGGTGACTGAATTGAGGGGAACTAGAACTCAGACCTGAATCTACCTTTCCCATGGACCTTGGAGCAAAGGTTACCCCTGGGTCTTAAAGAATTGGAACTGAGCCACTGAACCCCTAAGTCCTAGAGAGAAAGAAAGCCGTGGGAACACCGTGGTGTTGGGGCCTTCATCTGAGCTGCGACATTGAGTGCTGTCCTGAAGTAGTACCTTACTGCTTCCAAGAGATCGTGTGATGTCTTCATTGAAAAGGTCCTAATAACTATTGACTCCATCTTGCCTTCATGATCCGTGTATTGGGAAGTTGAACCAGATGGAAGTTACATTTGGCTACATATTCTTTTGCTTTGGGGTTGCCCAGGTGGTCTGTAGTAGCAGCCTGTCGGTGACCCCTAGACCGTGGTAGCCGGCGGAAAGCCTTTGGCACGGAACTAACTGCTGTATCAGATCAGCCCTGCCATCCTATTTGTAGCCAGCAGCCCTGCTGATAAATCAGTTAGCTGTTTGGAATCTCCTAAGGAAGATGCACTATAGATTTTTAAAAAAGAACTCATAATGCCAGTACCTGATGTTCTAGCTCAGCTTTTGCAATTACAATGCATAATTATAGTAATTTCGGAACATAAGCAACACAGGGCAATATAAAAACATTGTACCTAACAACCAAGCAAAACATAGGAAATAGTAGGAACAACACTCTTGATCATAAAATATTAGAATTTTTACCCCTAGAATGGCCTCTTAGAGGACCCATAGTCTTTAACCCTTCATTTCTAATGGAGAAAATGCCCATATTATAACATGGACATAGATTTTAGTTTTCAGGCTGATAGGCTAGAAGTTTAAATAGAGCAGTGTTACATTTATAACTCAGCGAAGCGGTGATTGAATATAGAATGAAAAATGATGCTAATATCCTGGAACATTGCCTAGACACAGTAGACTACTGTTCAAGCCAAACTAACAAAATGGAAGTAATTTTCATTAACAATCACTACCATCGATGAAGCCCCTGTACCGAGTCACATGCATCATTTCTAATCTTTACAATACGCATGGCGGTTAGGTATTATTAATTCTCATGGGTACAGATGAGCGACCAGGTGAGTGGAGAGGAAATTACACAACCGCAGTGCAGTCAAGCTGGTATTTATTCTCTCTGTGTGGCCAGCCGGCGTCTGCTCATCCTTCAGGTCTCAGTAGGTGAAAAATGTTGAAGAGCATGTAGCCCAGACTGAGCGAACGAGAGACGCCCTCTTGGACAGGAAAGACGACGTAACCACCAGCAGCAGCACAGCTGGACAGCGTTAGGAGGCATGCTGCGACGTGTAGACACAAACATATTCAGAATCACCTGGCGACTTGCTCCAGAAGTACACTACCTTTGCTTTGTGATAAGCCAGGAAAGGAAAAATGTCATTTCTCGTTTATGCTGAAAGAGTGAGAGAGCTATCACGCGGGCCAGCCCTGCCCGCCCTAGAGAGAATGGGGCTGTTTCCTGTCACTGGCCAGAGCAGCGGCTGCTTTACTTTTCTTCCCTGGTGCTTGTCACTTCAGTTCCACAGCATCAGGAGAGGCCAGTGTGCAATCTATTTCTGGAGGAAGACTTTTTTTTTTTTTTTTTTTTTTTGGCGTTCACCAAAAGGCATGCTTGGGGTGGTGCCCCAACCATATTACAAAAAGAACTCAGAATTCAAATCACATGAATAGCCAAGAAGTGGCCATACAATGTGCTGGTTTCAATTGTTTTCTTGCTAGAGGTGAGTAGAAATATATAGTTGTTAGGAAGTATTACAGAAAAGTCCCAGTTATTTCAGGTACGTGAATTAGCCAGTGCATTTTTGCTGCAGCTTCTTACCCTGACTTTAAACCATTTAAATGCATGTTAGCACCTTTATCAGATGACACATAACAAGCATTTCAAGAAAGTCAGCTGGTATAGGCCTTTGTAAACATGTCTGGCTTGTTAGCGATTAAAATCTTCCTTAAAGTTAGGTTTTAGACCTTTCTGTGGATTTGTTTTCCATATTCTTGTAACATCCTGTCACCAAAACTAATTAAGGATTATCTTTGGAAATAAACATGCACAGAGTAACTGAGCTGAACTGCACAATGTCCACAGTTGTCACAACTGCTACTGTAGCTCTGTGGATTCATCATTTTACATTTTGCATTTAGCTTATATCTCCATATTGTTTTTCTCTCTCTGCTTTTCAGATTTTTTGAATAGACTATGAATTGCCTTTTAACTACTTCTGCAAAGGACATCAACAGGCTGTGCCAGTCAAGTTTCAACACTGTAGTGTATCACCTCCCTACTTAATATCTATGGAAGGAGGTCACTTCCCACAGCCTTCAGTGTAAATTGTCTTTTGCCTCTAAGGTCAGCAAGAAGTAGTGTGTTAACTTATGAAAATATTATACTGAATTCCTCTTTTAGTACATTAACTATGAGATTTTTAAAAATCAACTTATCAAAAGGCATTAAGATATATGGAATTATAAATATATTATTGGAAGTTCCAAAGAAGTGTATAATAGTTTTCTTTGAGCAAGTTCCTTCACTTTTCTGAGCCACAGTTCTCCTATCTGTAAAATAGAGATAATTCTTTTTACTACCATGTGAGTTTGGGAGTCTTAAACTATTATGTAATAAATGCTTAATATAGTACCTGGAACATACCAAACTATCACTAAATGGCAACTGCTGTTATTGGAGATATTGTCCTATATCATCACAATCAGATTTTAATCACTTAAATCTCTTTTTTTTTTAAATATATCTTTATTGATTTCAGAGAGAGGAAAGGAGGGGGAGAGAGAGATAGAAACATCAATGATGAGAGAATCATTGATCGGCTGCCTAACCCGCAACCCGGGCATGTGCTCTGACCGGGAATCAAACCCCGATCTCCTGGATCTTAGGTCGATGCTCAACCGCTGAGCCACGCCCGGCCAGGCTAAATCTCTGTTTTGTAAAGAAAGGGAATAATTTTCTGGGTAACTTTCTTATTCTCTACCTCAATTTCCCAACCTTTTGAATAAAATTTAATAAACACAAAAAATTTATATCCCTTAAATGTTATTTGAAATTTCAAAATCATGTGACTGCCATGGCAACTAGCTTGGGATCCTCTCCATGAGCAGAGGCCTGCCCTCTCCTGGTATATCACTTTTGTATGCACAGGGCCCATTGATAACCAATATGCTTCTGGCCCTGAAAAAGCAGCGTGTATGGAAATTACAAAGTATATTATACACAGGATGAACTTTACATTTGCCGAGCCCAGTGCTTCCAGGGATGCCGTTAAACTGCCCACAACGCACAGGATAGACCCCTACAAAGAATTATCGAGTGCCCAAGTGCAAAAAGCCTGGTCTGACCCAAAGAAGCACTCCTTGACCAACTAAAGAGTCATTGCAAAGTAGATCTTCAGTTTGAACCCATAGTGTATTTTGCCATAAAAGTGGTTTAATTTATGGTACTTTGATTT